GCTCATTATGTCCCCTCATCAAATAATGCTCTGGTATTGAGGCTGTAGCCAAAAATCCTGGTAAAATAGCCATGTGGGGGTGGGGGTGGGAAAGGTTGGAAGGAGGTTGGTTGACGTTTAATGCTTTCATCCCTTTTATTTATTTATTTTTTCATGCCTTTTAAATACAAGTTATACAGATTTCACCAGCCCTGAAACAGAATAATCAGTACGTTTTTAAAGCTCTCCTTTGCCAGAGGTCATGGCTCAGTTACATCACCAATTATTTAGTTAATTAGACATTTTGTTCTTAACAAAATTTGTTTAAACAAATATGTACACAAATGAAAAACTACTACCTTTACAAGTCAACCAGAAACTCAATGTTTCTCCATCATGTTATTGTGTAATAAATACTAAAAACTGGATTCTTGACAGTTTATTAGTCTGAAGCCTCAGGGAATTGGTGAAAGTGCCCCTAGAGTGCAATATTCTAAGAATGAATTTTGTGGAACTGGTATCATTCCAGTAATAATAATGGATTATCTTAACAGTGTCATTCTGTAACGTTACTTAAGAGTTTGATTTTGTAACATTACTAGCATTGTCTCTGAGCTCAAGGATTGCCTTTATTCCAGATGGTATCGGTTTTTTACAGGGAAGAGTTCCAATGATGGATTTCTCTATCTTTTTCTCTCTAAGGTGGAATATTGTTCTAATATTCTCTATAGGCTTTCACAAAGCACTGTTTTTAGGAATCTAATACAGAGGATTTTATTTAATAGCCATTATTCAACTTTTAAAACAGTCACTGACAATTGCTTCTCGAGTATTCATATTCCCAGTCTATCTTGATTTCAGAAAAATACCTAGTATATTGTCATTCTTTCCCACCTATTCTCTCCCCACAACAACCCCCCCCACACAGGCTGCCCCACCCAGTGTCAGATTATTGTTATGCAGGCTTATAGTACTCATTTGGGCTTTAGGATTAATCTATCAACCACTTTTTTTTTTAAAGAATCACAAATACCATTGAAAATAATACTGTCTGAGAGACAATAAAGGTCCATGTATTATATGAAAAGCAGCCCATGATAATCCTTCCCTTAGAAATGTGATGAAATTTCAAAGTGGGATTCCCATGTTAAAGGTTATGTGTATTTTTAATTATAATTGATTCTATCTGATCATTTTACAAATATTAACTCCTCAAAATGTATCAACTAACGAGCAATGTTTCTAGATACCTGTTTCTACATGGTCATCAGCATTTACCCTAAGTCTTTACCTTTTGCTCATCTAGTGAGTAAAAAAACAGTATCTTATTGTTTTGATTTTCACCTTACAGACTACTTGTGAGGTTGAACACGTTTTTATGTTTGTTAACCTTTGCATTTCCTCTTCTGTTAATGATCTGTTCATACACTTTGTCCTTTTTTAAAATTTAATTTAATAATTTAAATTAATTTTTTAATATTTACTTATTTTCAAGAGAGAGTGAGACAGAGAGCAAGTAGGGGAGGGGCAAAGAGAGAGGGAGACGCAGAATCCAAAGCAGATTCCAGGCTCTGAGCTATCAGCACAGAGCCCAATGCAGGGCTTAAACCCATGAACCACAAGATCATGACCTGAGCTGAAGTTGGAGGCTTAACCAACTAGCCACTCAAGCACCCCAGGTTGGCCAACTTTTAATGTAAATTACCTAAGAGTACATATTTGAGACGTGGTGGGCCTTGAGATCTCTGTTGCAACTACTCAGCTCTGCTGTAGACAATTCATACATAAATGGATGTGGCCATGTTCTAATAACTTTTACGAAACTCGTAGTTGACTTATAGTTTATGATTCACCATGTAAGGAGCTTGGAAGTTGTCAATCTGTTGCAACCACAAATAAAAAAGCTGAATGAACTGAAAGTCAACAACTCTTTTTTGATCCATAAGAGACAGTGAGATCCCCTAATTAGAGAGCCAGGTGAATGCAGAGAATATAGGAGCAGAAAGCCCTGAGCAGAGGCCTCTGCAGAAACCAGTATGGCAGAAAAACCAGACCTGTGATGGAGAATTGCTAGAGGCTCAGAGCAGACACATCTGAGAATTAAAAAGTCTGGAGGGGGTGGCAGACACAGGAGGCCCCCCCATACTTATGTACGCTTTACCTTCGGGAGCTCAACCAGGTTCTTGTGAATATTAGAAAAAAAATCCCCTCATGCTTCTGGCAGCAGGAGGAGAAAAGGAGCCATTTTGAAATATGCCAGATAATTCTGTTCTTCTTAACAAGGGGTGCTCTCAAGGGAAACGATTTGACCACAGTCTCAATTATGGGGGTTTTATCTGACCTAGGGGAAGGGAAATACCCAAAGCCAGCCCTGTCTAGTCATCCTGGCTTACATAAGATGGTTAGGGGACTGAAAAAAGACTTGCGCGTTCACAAACCAGAGACCCAAGGCTCACTAATAGGCTGAGACCTGATCGTAAGATTGCAGAACACTTCCCACCCTCTGCCCCTTGCCACCACATTACTAAATGACTGTTCCTTCTACCCAGGTGAATCATCAAATAAAAATTACAACACATTTTAAAAGGCAAAAACAAAAAACAAAAAACAAACCCAAACCAAAAAAAAAACCAAAAAAACAGTTTGAAGAGAGAGTAAGCATCAGACCCAGACTGAGATATAACAAGGATGTTGATATGACATATCAAGAATGTCATACACTTGGAATCACAGCATGCATGTCCCCATAATGTTTGAGACTTCCCATCTTTCTGAGGCTGTGGAATTCTTTCTGCATTTTTCCAACCCTGATAGAACTTGGGTGGTGGGAATTATGCTTAAGAAGTCCAAAATTTATATTATACTTTGTTTATACGAACACCTAACATTCCTAAAAGTGCCACATCCATTGCTTTTTTTTTTTTTTGCAAGTGACAAAATTAGAAATTCTTTAGAAAAGAGATAAGTCCTTAAGCTTTGGATTGAATGGATATACATACGAGGATATTATGTTTTCCTATTGTTCCAGACTTGAGGCAGAAAACAATAGGCATCAAATCCACTTCCTACTTTTCTATTTTTTATTTTTAAAATTTATTTATTTATTTTGAGAGAGACTGAGACAGTGCATGCAGGAGAGGGGCAGAGAGAGAGGGATAGAGAGAATTCCAAGTAGGCTCTGTGCTGCACTGCAGAGCCAGACACAGGGCTCGAACTTACAAAAACATGAGATCATGACCTGAGCCGAAGCCAAGATTCGGAAGCTCAACCAATCGAGTCACCTAGGTGCCCCCAAATCCAGCTCCTTCTAGGGGGAGAGAAGTAGCTGAAATTTGAGAGCCACCATCAGATATCTCTATTCTTAGCCTACTGAAAGATGCCAAAGAAGAAAAGTGGGGAGCCCCTACCTATCCCCTTTTAGAAGGCTGAACATTTTTAAGCCAAGAGACCTGTTAACCTACCTATGGTTACTCTTGGAGGAAACAAACAAGCAAACAAACAATTGAGGAGAGAAGGCAGGGTCTGCATGCTGGGGGTGGTGGCAGTGGGGTACTGTCAGATAGAGATGGGGCCAGAACCCCTTTGCTTAAGTTTGCAATTCAAAGCAGTACAAAAGTTGCAGCCTGCAGGTGCCTTCAGACCTGAGAGTTGACCATGGAAGGACGAGATTAATGGCTCTAGTCTTGTCAGAAGTGGGAAACTTTGGGGCATAGAGGTGAGTATGTCAGAGAAATGTAGCAGTGTGTGTGGGTAGGTGGCTGTTCTTTGGAATATACAGAATTTCAGAAGGACGCTGGTGTCTGGGAAGCTTCCTTAGCAGAGCATCCTGTAGTCACATAAACAGCAATGGCTAGTGAGGAAGACTGTAGGCTTTCCTGGTCACTGCCTTTCCTCTCTCTCCTCTTGGTTCATCACCAGAGCACCAAGTGCAGAGGAATCGGGGAGATGTAGTAAAGTTTTAGGGGAGTTAAAAGTTATACTAGGATTTTTGACTGAGGGGGGAGGGGAGTTTTGGCACCCTAACCCAGTACATTTTTCGAGGGTAATCTGTATATGAAAACGGAAAGTAGAGCCATGAAATTTGCTAACAGTGGTGAGATTTACAAGGAGGAAGAAATGACAGGCTTGGGGATCAAGGGAATTTTCACTTGAGAAACTGGGCGTGTAAAATGACGTTTGAGAAATGGGTTGGGGCTTGGGCAAGATCTACTTAGGAAACAGAGATTAAGGTGAAAGGAAGTGAGCAAAAGGGGGCAAATGGCACAGGAAGCACAGAATTGGCCTGGGGGACTACTTTATGGTCCAGTTGCCAGGCCATGGAACCCCCTTTTATGTATGATGCAATGGACAGCCAGTAAAGACTCCATTTAGAGGGGAAGGACATAGGCAGAATTACGTTTTAAGAACACTCCTAAAGATCCTCATTCACATTTTGGGAAGAATTAGCCTCAGGTACAAGGTTTGACCAAAGAACAGTAGCAGGACCTCTCTAAGGGGCACGCTTCTGTCTCCGCACACTTCCTTTCGGGGACCCTCGTTGATCCCCAACATCCACACTTGCTGAGGGCGACCTTCTATTTCTAGGTTATTTCTGGCGTTTGTAACGTAATCCAGTTGGGCCACTTTTGCCCCTTAGAAGCCGTTTCTGGCTGGGCCGTGAAAGGACACAGGCAGTATCAGACACCCAAGGCCTCGAGGGACGCGGAGTCCCTAAAGTCGCCCATTCCAACCTTGAAGCCGCTGAGCGCCTGTCTGTGGAGTCCAGCGAGCAAGGGTTGGTGGCGTCCGCTCCCCGTTCTCCACACGCCTAGAGGGCGCTCGCGGTCCCCAGCCCGCTAAGTCCGCACGAGCGCGCTCTCCTCCGCGGCGCCTGGTTAGGCCACATCCTTGGACTCAGAAGTCGCGTCAGAGTTCCGCATCGACCAATCAGAGCCGTCCATGTACTAGTAGGGGCGGGGCTGCCGAGGCAGGAGGAAGATGGCGGCGGGGGCGAGGTGAGGTGTTGGCAGTGGAAAGGGGTTCGGGCGTGGGGGGCGGGAGAACGTGGAGCAATGGCCCGCGCCGGCCGCCGGGCTGGATAAGAAGCTGTCGCCCCGCGGGTGTGGGACGGAGGGAGGAGAGGGCGCCTGGACGCCACGGGAGTATGACGGGGCTGTACGAGTTGGTGTGGCGGGTGCTGCATGCTCTGCTCTGCCTGCACCGCACGCTCACCTCCTGGCTCCGCGTTCGGTTTGGCACCTGGAACTGGATCTGGCGGCGCTGCTGCCGCGCCGCCTCTGCCGCGGTCCTAGCGCCGCTCGGCTTCACGCTCCGCAAGCCCCCGGCTGTCGGCAGGAACCGCCGTCACCACCGGCATCCGCGAGGGAGGCCGGGCCCGGCCGCCGCCCACCCCCGGCTGAGCTGGCGCGCGGACGGCCGTTCCCTGGAGAAGCTGCCAGTGCACATGGGCTTGGTGGTCACCGAAGAGCAGGAACCCAGCTTCTCGGATATCGCGAGCCTCGTGGTGTGGTGTATGGCTGTGGGCATCTCCTACATCAGTGTCTACGACCACCAAGGTGAGGTCGGGCGCGCGTAGGGGGACGGGGGCGACTCCGGCCGGGGGGCCCGCACATCCGGCAGGTGTATCCGCGGCGCGCGGCGCACCGCAGCGCTCCCTGCTCTTCCAGTTGCCCGGTCCCACGGCCCTGCGGTGCACCCTAACGGTGCTAGCGCTTTCGAGGAAGGGAGATAAGCTTTATTAACACCTGCTAAGTCCCTGAATTTGGTAGGGTCGCTTTCTGTGCAATTAAAAAGTATTTCTTACTGTTTGTAAAGTCCCAGTAGGGTAGATGTTATTTGTATACACATGTTTCACAAAAGAGGGACCTGAGGGTCACCAGCATCTGCGCTTTTCCGCGTACGTTTTTCCCTCTTCCTCCCCTCCCCCCCCCATTTAATACTACAGTGTTTCTTCCGAGAGATTCAAGGCACTGCTGTTAAATTACTGCTAGCCTGTGAAGGATTTATGCATACGCTTAGTGGTTGGGGGCAGGTAGTATCTGAACTGGGCTTACCTAAAGTATGTGAGAGATTGGATAGGCAAAATGAAAATAGTCACCTGTGCCTTCGGAGGTCTCGGATAGCGTGCAATCCTTGATCCTCAGTGGCTAAACACAGTACTTGATACAGTAATTGCCCTCCTTTAAATTCTCATTGAGGGAATGCATTTCACCATGGGATATTTTTTAAGTACAGGAATTCACCATTTATTGGGTGGCTACAAACCTTAAGCACTGTGCTAATACGCACATTCCTTGTAATCTTACATTTAACTCCATGGATTCTCAGGTTTATGGAGAGTAGATACATAAGTAACTTCTTGGTTAATAGCAAGAACTGTTGGGAGTAAGTAACAACAATGAGAATGGGGGAGAGAAATTTTGAACTGGCGGAGTTTGAGAAGTTCATGCAGAGGAAATGGGCTTTCCGTTGGACTGAAATTATGACTAGGAGGTTAGGTTGAGGAAGGCTCTAAATGTCAGTTTTGGATTTCAGTCAGATCCTGAAAGTAGTGTAATTTCCTTTCCTTAGACGTAAAGATGTGGCAGTAACAGAGTTTTAGGTGTATTGGTATGAAGGAAAGAAAACTAATGCTATCTTCTTTGTTCAGTAACATATACCGGTATGTTCCACAGACACTACAGTTTGATTTTTTCCCTCTAAGTCTTTGTCAAATAGGTATGTGAAAGTGCAGGGTTTTCTCAGAAAGAGTAGGTCAAGGTCAGACAGTAACTCTTGCACAGTATTAGAGTAATCTTTGACCTGTCACTTCCTTGCAGTCAGCAAGAAATATAGTGACTCAGTAGTCTGTCATCATCAACTGATGCTATAACCCATAGGGTAAAGTTTAATAAGGCTGACATTTTATGGAACTTGCCAAACTCAGCAGACCAATAGAAATCACAAGACTGTTAGGAAGCGACACAGTCTTTGCTTAAACCAATACAACAGAAATATTGTGTGGGGAAAGAAAGAAGTGAAGCAGAAATGGAAATTAGCTAAAGCCATTAAACAATAGGGTGAATTGACTTACAAGTGCATCCCTTATATATAAGTGAGTCTTTTAAAGCAAGTACCCTTATGGTTCAAGTAGGGAAGGCAGATGTATAGCTAAATAGTTTAATTTGGTGACTGTGCCTACAGATTGTAATATTGCCACACTTCCTTGTTCTGACAATTCCTGTTCTTGAATTGCTGATATGGTTCAGAAATATCTCGTGTCATATTTGCTAAAAGAAGAGTGATTGTTGATAGGAAGGAAGAAGTCATGCTAACCAGACATTGAAAACCTAAAGGAGTTTTAAGGTTATTTCCAGTGAATTGACATAGGGCACTTTGTGTCCCACTATGAAAGCAGTTTTAATTATTTTTTAGGGGATAATTTCATTGTTTGACCTGTTCTTGGTATTCATTCATTCATTCATTCATTCATTCATTCAACAGTAACAATTGGCTATTAAATATCAGGTATCGGTTTGGGCATAGGGGTACATCAGTGCACAAAACAGACAAAAATCCCTATCCTCATGGAACTTACATTTTAATGGAAGCCCGACAAATGTTATAAAAGAGTAAAACATGTGGTAAATTAGATCATAAATGAAATGAGGAAAAATCAAACTGGGAATGGGAATGTTGAAAGGCAATGATGGGGTACAACGTTAGGTAGCGTGGGCAAGGGAAGCCTCATTGACCTCATTGACTTTTGACTTTTGAGTATTGACCTGAAAAAGGTGAGAAAACGAGCTGTGTGGATATGTGAGGAAAGTTGTCCTTTTCAGGGTTGGTATGACCACTTAAGCTTTATTTAGTTTTCCCAAACAAATTTTTATTTAAACCCGTTTCTTTATAGGTTTAAAAAAATCCTATCAACATCTTTACAAATGCCACATCTATTGAGTACCTTATTATGGTGTAAAGCACTGGGATACAAAGGAATACAAGAAACTGTGTTTCTTAAAGTTAAAATTTCTCAAGTTAAGGATATCTACTAAAAATTAATGTAAGTTAATATGCTAAGTGAGTGGCAGAAACATTATTTAAGGAAAGAGAAAAATCCCTGCAAAGCAGGGTTACCCCCCTATGCTCCTGAGAAGGAAGGAGGTGACACTTGAGCTAGGCTTTGCAAAAGTGGGTAGAATTTGGATTAGCATGAACAGCAGTGTTCTCTCTCCCTCCCTCCTCTGTCTGTGAATAGGGAATTCCCTTTTGGTAGCTTTCCTATTAGACAGGCCTTACCAACAGTGCTGAGTACTGTGGGGAACAGTAAATATAAGTAAGTTTCTATAATGAAAAGTTGAGAAATGAGGTAGGGTGAAAGTTTGCGTGACTGTTCTAGTTATTTACCCCAGGGCATAGTGTTTTAAAACCACAGATTACACGTTGACTCCGTTCAGTTGATCATGTCTTTTTTGGGATTCATCACTCAGAAGGTGGCTGTCAGATAGTGGCTGGGACATAAAAATTTCTTGTCATAAGTCCCATACCTGGTTCCTAATAGCTGGAATAGATGAGGGCAGGTTAGTCGTCTGTCTTCACAGAGTCTTTCTACATGACTGGCTTGGGCTTCCTCATTAATCGTGGCCTCAGGGTAGTCAGATGGTGGCTGGCTTTTCCCGAGAATGTTCCCAAAGACCTAACCAGAGGCCAAAGCTTACAAGGGTTCTTTGACTTAGCTTAGGATATCATGCAGTGTTACTTTTGCTGTACTCCTGAGAAGTCACTGGTCTGGCCCAAATCAAGAAAATGGTGAAATAGACTTTACCTCTCATTGAGATAATAACTTGTCCAGAAAGGTGCAAGGGAGACAAGTGTGGGAAGGATGGGGGTGAGGCAGGGGGATTGATGGCAGAGATCTTGGAGACAAGCTAACTGTACCTTCTTACATTTTTCTCTGTCCTGTACGCTTTCACTTAAAAATTTGAGTTTAAATAAGTATTCATTCTAATTAATTATAATTGGATAATTATAATTGGATCTAATTAATTATAATTGGATTCATTCTGATTAATTATAATTTAATTATAATAAAATATAAAAAGATTATATTTTATTCTTAGACCAAAAAACCCATTGATATTTACTTCGGTTTGACTGCCAACAAACTGAACTTTTTATTTTCATTTACCTGCCATATTTCTTGATTATAATAATTTCTGCCTGTAATTCTTTCATCTATTAGAAATTGGGGTTGTTTTCACAGGATTTCTTAAGTCCAGAATTCCAGTAAAGAGATTAGCCTGATTTGTCACACAAAACCTGGAGTTCAGTGACCTTTGGTGTTATTACATGAGGGGTGCTGTGCTGGCTTGGATCTTAATCCAAGTACGCTTGGCTCCACATTATCTGGGTGTGTGTCATCATCTTCAATGATGAAATCTGTTTTTTTGCCCAGATATATTGGTGCCATGCTGTGGACCTTGCTATAGGACAGTATTTTTCAAAATGTGGCCTAGGGTCGCGTGGGTGGCTCATTAAGCATCTGACTTCGGCTCAGGTCATGATCTCATGGTTCGTGGGTTTGAGCCCCGCGTCGGGCTCTGTGTTGACAGCTAGCTCAAAGCCTGGAGCCTGTTTCAGATTCTGTACCTCCCTCTCTCTCTGACCCTCCCCTGCTCATGCTCTCTCCTTCTCTCTCTCAGAAATAAATAAAACATAAAAAATTTTTTTTTAAATGTGGCCTGTGGACCATCTGAGAAAGAGTTTTGGGGGATACTTATAAAAAATACAGATTCAACACAGTTATTGATCAGACTGACTTAGGGGAGTGGGACCTGAGCATCTCTTTTTACCCATCTGTCTGTATACTGCCTCTGTACCTTCACGTTTGACCCTAACACAAGTTGAGGGATACTCTGCTGTTTGCCTTGCCTCAAATTATTCATTCTTCATGTTCCTCTTCATGAATGAGGAAATCTGGGTAGGGTCTTAGTATTACTTATTATAAATTGGAATGATCTAGAATAAGGCATTGCGGTCTGTGTGAGAATCTAGCAACACAACAAGGAAACAAATCTTTCATCTTAGTCTTTCTAGTGTTACTTCTGTGGTTGTAAATCTGTGCTAGGTGTCTTCTGAAATTGTTTTTGGATACAGATTTCTCACACTGGCATTAAAAATGTCTGCCCAGTGTACTCCTGGGTTCCCCAACCTACTTCTCACTATTTTATATACCTTTTGCCTCATCCACATTTAGGTTGCTTGATGTTCCTCCTCCTCAGCACCCCGCCCCGCCCCCCCTCCCCAAGACAAATGGCTCCTACAGATGGCTTTTCCTGACACATGGCTATCTACTTGTCAGAACGCTGTCACTGATCCTTGTAAGTCTATCCTGTCACCTCTTACGTAGTCTCTCTTGAGTATTCCATTTCTAATCTTGATCTATTCTTGAATCTCCTCAAAACTTTGTACATCTTCAAAGGTATTTCTCTTTTCTGAAATAGTAGTCATGTATATGTATATGTGCGTAAATTTTCTTACTAGATTTAAGCTCCACAGATACTGTCCATCCTTCTCA